TTGCTTTCTTCATGGATGATGTTCTTGATGTCATCTCACAGTTCTTTATGGTTTTTGGTCATTGGTGTTCAGTGCATCAAATCTATTCTTTAGATGGTTTCTAAATTAAGGGATATATTCAAGATCTTACTTTGACTCTCGTGAACTAGTTTTAATTGTCTTCACCTCCAGGTTGTACTTGGATGTGAGCATTTGATGTTCTGTTCCACAATCGGTTCCTTGCCTTGCTTTGGCTGAAAATATTGAGCTTTTCCATCGCTTCTTTCCACTTCAGGTAGTCAATCTGATTTCTGTGTAGTCCATCTGGTGAAGTCCACATGTATAGCCGCTGTTTGTGTTGTTTGAAAAAGGTTTTTCTGCAAGGAATAAGTTGTTGGTCTTGCAAAATTCTGTCATGCCATCTCCAGCATCATTTCTATCACCAAGGCCAAATTTTCCAACTACTGGTGATTCTTCTTTGGTTCCAAGTTTTGCACTCCAGTCACCAGTGATAAGCAACATGTCTTGATTGCATGTTCAGTCAGTTTCAGACTGAAGAAGTTGATAAAAATATTCAATTTCCTCATCTTTGGTTTGGTGGTTGGTGTGTAAATTTGAATAATAGTCGTATTAACTGGTCTTCCTTGTAGACGTATGGATATTATCCTATCACTGACAGCATTTTACTTGAGGACAGAAATTAAAACATCGTTTGTGATGATGAAGGCCACACCATTCCTCTTCAAATTGTCATTCTCGGCGTAGTAGATCATATGGTTGTCTGATTCCAAATGGCCAAAACTGGTCCATTTCGGCTCACTAATGCCTAGGATATCAGTCTTTATGCATTCCATTTCATTTTTGACAACTTCCAATTTTCCTAGATTCGTTCTTCTTACATTCCACATTTGTATTATTAATGGATGTTTGCAGCTGTTTCTCCTCAATTCGAGTCCTGCCACATCAGCAAATGGAGGTTTCAAAAGCTTTATTTTATCCATATCAGTAAGGTTGGTTCTACTCTGTTGATGCAGCTCTTTCCCAGTCATATTTTGAGAACCTTCTCACCTAAGGGGCTCGTCCTCCTGCACTGTATTGGACAATGTTTCCGGGCTATTTGTAAAGTTGCACAGTAATGTATCAGACAGTGTTTCTCTGCTTTTCATAAGGTTTTCCCTGGCCAGTTTTTTGAGAGGTGATTGGCCTCTTCCTTCTTCCTAGTCTGTCTCAGTCTGTAAGCTGCGTTGAAACCTCTGCACCATGTGCAACCCTCCTGGTGTTGAAACACTGGTGGCACAACCTCAAGCCTCATAGGAACATGCAAGCCACCACAGTATGACAAACTGACAGACAATTTTGTCTTCCTTAGCTTTCAAAACCTCTCTGCCCTCCCCTTACATGGATCCCTGTCACTGCTCTGCTGTGTTGTTCTTCTGGTGTCCGAAGTGGGAAGAGTGCTGTTGAATTGTAGGAATTGCAATGAATGTCACAAAGCAGAATGTGTATGGATTATTGAATGGACAATCAATTTTTTCTGTAAACTTTCACCCAAACCGTGATAGATATATAGATAGATAGATAGATAGATAGATGCATGCATCTTGGAAATAACAAAATCTTCAGTTTTAATCATCAGAGGCTTGTAAGTACTGGTAAGCCAAATATTGGACCTAAGCCAAGAGTTACTTGTTAGTAATCCTGGTACCATGGTATAAAACCTGGTTATTAAGCTTGTGCTCAAAATTGCCCAGAAAACATTCTCTTATAGTTTAATCTGGGTTTTAAAAACTTTTTTTAAAATCTGGATCTTTTTTTTTTTAAACCAAGAATAACCTCTTTGCATAGCATTTAATGCCTAAGACTACTTCATTGCTATGGGAAAGATTGATTGATACCTTCTTATGATATAGTACAAGTCACCATGTTTTTGTTGTTGTTATGTGCCGTCGAGTCAAACCCGACTCATAGCGACCCCTCCTTGGGTTTCCGAGGCAGTATTTCTACAGAAGTAGGATTGCCCAACCTTCCTTCCGAGGAGTGGCTGGTGGGTTTGA